GTAATAATTTTATTGTCTTTATTTTTTTAAATTTCTTTTTAATTTTTATTTTATACTGGAGCATAATTGATTAACAATGTTGTGTTAGTTTAAGGTGTACAACAAAGTTTTTCAGTTATACATATACATGTATCTATTCTTTTTTTTTTTTTTTTTTTTTTTTTTTAGTCATTGCTGTAAGGGTTTATGATACACAATTTTAACTTATCACAGTCTACCTTCAAATAATATACCATTTTACATACAGTGTAAGAGTATAATTCCATTTCCTTCTCCAGCGTCTTGTGCTATTATTGTTATTCATTCCGCATATGCTATAAATCCTGCGACATGTTACTATTTTTGCTTTAGACAGTCACTTATCTTTTAAAGAGATGAAGAAAATGAAAAAAATTACCCACATTTTTACCATTTTCAGTGCTTGGTATATTTTTGTGTTGATCCAGATTTCCCTTAAAGAACTGACTTTCACATTTCTTGCACTACAGATTTGCTGGCAATGAATTCTCAGCTTTTGTTCATCTGAAAACATCTTTATTTTGCCTTCATTTTGAGGATACATTATAATTGGGTATAAAATTCTAGGTTGACAGTTTATTTTCCTCAGCGCTTTAAAAATGTCACTCCATCTTCTAGTTTGCATAGATGAGAACTCTGTTGTCATTTTTTTTTTGAGGTACACGGGCCTCTCACTGTTGTGGCCTCTCCCGTTGCGGAGCACAGGCTCCGGATGCGCAGGCTCAGCAGCCGTGGCTCACGGGCCCAGCCGCTCCGCGGCATGTGGGATCCTCCCGGACCGGGGCACGAACCCGTGTCCCCTGCATTGGCAGGCGGACTCTCAACCACTACACCACCAGGGAAGCCCTTGTTGTCATTCTTAATTGTTTTCCTGTAGAATGTAAGGCTTCTTTCTTCTCTGCCTTTAAAATTTTACTTTGCTTTTCAGCAGTTTGACTATGATGTGGTTTTCCTTTTATTTTTTCTGCTTGGGGTTCTCTAAATTAACTTTAGGAAGTTTTGGGCCATTATCTCTTCAAATACTTCTACTCTTCTTTTGGGATTCCAGTTCCACATATGTTAGCCTGTATTGTTCCACAGCTCTTGATGCACCATTCTGTTTTTTCACTCACTTTTTTCTTTGTGTTTCAGTTTGATCATTTTTGTTGACTTTTCTACAAGTTTACTTATTTTTTCCTCTATTATGTCTAGTCTGCTGATTAACTCATCAGAGGAATTCTTCATTCTGATATCATGTTTTTCATTTTTTGTGTTTTCATTAGGCTTCTTTGTATAGCTTTCATCTCTGTGCTGAAATTTCCCATTTACTAAGTGTCAACCTTATTTTCTACTAGATCTTTTAATATATTAATTAGAGTTGTTTTAGTGTGTCTGTCCTATAAGTTCCAGTATATACACCATCTCTAAGTCTGGTTGTATTGCTGTTTTTCTCTGTTGACAGTGGGTTTTATCATTTTGAAAAATGTGTCTTACAATTTTTTGATTGTGTGTTACACATTGAATATAGATGAACAGTAGAACCCCCTGCATCGGCAGGCGGACTCTCAACCACTGCGCCACCAGGGAAGCCCCATGTATCTATTCTTTTTCAAATTCTTTCCCATTCAGGTTATTAGAGAGTATTGAGCAGAGTTCCCTGCTCTATAGTAGATGCTTGTTGGTTATCTATTTTAAATACAGCAGTGTGTACATGTCAATCCCAGACTCCCAATCCATCCCTCCCCGCCAAGTTGCATCTTAATAACAAAATTAATATAAAAAAGATGCAAGGCATTTCTAGGGGCTGGTCAATGTATTTTTAAATTAATTAATTATATTAAGACTTTATTTTCGTAGAGCAGTTTTAGGTTTATAGCAAAATTGAAGGGAAGATACAGATTTCCCATGTGCCCCCAGCTCCTACACCTGCACAGCCCTCCCCAGCATCAACACCTCCCACCAGTGGTACCCTTGTCACCTGGGATGAACCTGCACTGACACGTCATTATCACCCAGAGTCCAGAGTTTACATTAGGGCTCACTCTTGGTGTTGGACATGGTGTGTTTGGACAAATGTGTATTGACAAGTGTCCATCATCATAGGGTCATACAGAGTGGTTTCACTGCCCTAAAAATCCCCTGTGCTCCACCTCCCTCCCCCGCCCCCAACCCCTGGTAACCACTGATCTTTTTACTGTCTCCATAGTTCTGCCTTTTCCAGAATGTCCTATAGTTGGAATCGTACAGCATGCAGCCTTTTCAGATCGAATTCTTTCACTCAGTAATGCATTTATGTTTCCTCCATGTCTTTTCATGGCTTGATGGCTCCTTTCTCTTTAGTGCTGAATAATATTCCATTGTCTGGATGCACCACAGTTTATTTATCCATTCATCTGCTGAAGGACATCTTAACTACTCCCAAGTTTTGGGCAGCTATGGATAAAGCTGCTATGAACATCTGTGTGTAGGTTTTTGTGTGGACACAAGTTTTCCACTCATTTTGGTAAATACCAAGGGGCGTGATTGCTGGTAAGAGTATGTTTAGTTTTGTAAGAAACTGCCCAACTTCATTCCAAAGTGGCTGCTCCATTTTGCTTTCCCAACAGCAGTGAATGAGAGTTCCTGTTCCTCCACATCCTCGCCAGCATTTGCTGTTGTCGATGTTCTGGACCTTGGCCATTCTAATAAGTGGGTAGTGGTATCTCGCTGTTTTAATTTGTGTTAACTGGTGGCACATGATGTGGAGCATCTTTTCATATGCTTATTTGCTATCTGTGTATCTTATTTGGTGAGGTGGCTGTTAAAGTCTTTAGCCCATTTCTTAATCAGGTTGTTGTTTTCTTATTGCTGAGTGTTAAAAGTCTGCTGTAGGGCTTCCCTGGTGGCTCAGTGGTTGAGAGTCCGCCTGCCGATGCAGGGGACATGGGTTCGTGCCCCGGTCCGGGAAGATCCCACATGCCGTGGAGCGGCTGGGCCCATGAACCATGGCTGCTGAGCCTGCGTGTGCGGAGCCTGTGCTCCACAACGGGAGAGGCCACAACAGTGAGAGGCCTGCGTACCGCAAAAAAAAAAAAAAAAAAAAAGAAAAGAAAAGAAAACAAAAAAGAATCTGCCTGCCAATGCAGGCGACACGGGCTCGAGCCCTGGTCCGGGAAGATCCCACATGCCGCAGAGCAGCTAAGCCCGTGCACCACAGCTACTGAGCCTGCGCTCTGGAGCCCACGAGCCACAACTACTGAGCCCGCGTGCCACAACTACTGAAGCCTGCATGCCTAGAGCCCGTGCTCCGCAACAAGAGAGGCCACTGGAATGAGAAGCCTGTGCCCTGCAACGAAGAGTGGCCCCCACTCGCCACAATGAGAGAAAGCCCACGTGCAGCAACAAAGACCCAACGCAGACAAAAATAAATAAATAAAAATAAATAAAAATTTGAAAAAAACAAAGAGTCCGCTGTATATTTTGGTAACAGTCCTTTATCAGATGTGTATTCCCCCCCAATCCCCAGTTTCACTGAAAAATAATTGACACACCTCACTGTTTAAGTTCAAGGTGTACAGTGTGATGGCAATTCACATACATTGTGAAAAGATGACAATAGGTTAGCATCCATCATCTTGTATAGATACATAGATGTGTCTTTTGCAAATATTTTCTTCCAGTCTGTGGCTTGTCCTCTCACCCTCTTGACAGTTGATGTATTTTTAGCTTTACAAAATCCAGAAAGTAGAACAAATAAACAAGGAACGCTTCTAGGAGCAAAGTTCCCAAGATGTAGCAGTTAAAAAAAAAAAAAAAGACTTGATGGCAGGGCTGCAGGGCTGCGAAGGTCTGCACCGAACGTGGCAGCCGGCTCTGATGGCTGGTTTTGGAAGGCTGCTTCCTTCAGAGAAGAGCCCTTGTGCCCCAGCAGTTCCCGGCCACCTGGGAGCCTTAGTTGCCACTGCAAAGGGTCGCCGGGTGTTGGGATAGACTCATGCAAGAAGGGAGACAGGGTTGGTGGCTCAGTATCTGGAGTGTCTCACTCGTGAGAGTTTAGCCCTAAGCTGCGGGTCCTCGGAACTTGGCTCTGTTGATCCTCATATGGGATGGGGCCTTGGAATCTGTATTCTAAACACCACCACCCCTGCTCCCAATGCAGACCAGAGATTCTATCAGGCAAACTCAGGAGAAGCTGGCTATACCAACCAGGTGGCCACCTACCCGACTGCATTTGCCCACAGAGAAGGACACAGACGTGGTCTCCAGGGCCCAACCGTGTGGAAAGATCTGGACCTGCCCCACAGCACAGGCCCGTCTGAGCCGCACTGCCGACCCGCACCCACATCAACGGCAGTCGGTTTACCAAATACACAAAAGAAATATAGTTTATTTAATGTAAAATAGCAAGACTTTGGCCTTGACCCAGACGGTCAGGGTTTGCATTACAATTTTGCACGTGCACAAAACCTCCCGCGATGCCATTATGCCGAGACGGGAAGCCTGCAAAAATGTTCTTTTCTTGCTGTGGACACAGGCAGAGCTCTGTCTGCACCCTTAACCCTGGGCCAAATCATAATCTTTATTAAAAAACAAAAACAGACAGACACAACTCTGAAGCACAAAGAGGCAGAAAGTGTTTAGTAAACCTGAGGAAAAGACCAAGGTTCAGCAAGTGCCTGAGAAGAGAGGGGCTGGGGGCTGAGACGCAGCCCCTGTCCAGGCCGAGGTCACACAGCTGTGCCCGGGGGGTGAGGGTGGGTAAACATTAACTACACTGGCCGAGAGAGAGAACCCACGGGCGCCCAGCCACGTGTAAAAGGAACGCACTTTTGTCTGGCTCTGATCCGAGGCAGGAGACCCTCCTGGGCTTCATGATGGTGCTGTTTGCAACGCTCCGGGCACCAGGACAAACCCCTCCCCTGACCGCACGTGTCCGCCACTCGCAGTAACATGTTCACCCGTCTGCAGAGACGGGGTGGGGAGCAGAGGGAGGGAAATGGAAATACTCAGCAGCGGCAACTCACAGGTGGAATGAGAACGTGAGGGAGAACGTGCCCGGGCACACGGAGATGTTCTTCTCTGAGCCCCGACTCCCTCTGCGGGTGTTTTCCGGCTGCAGCCGGTCTGGGGAAACCCAGGTCTCAGGCCTGTCCTTAGAGGCCATGCCCAGCGGGCATCGATGTTGCACCATCTGAGCCAAGGCCTCTGGGGCCCCCTTCAGAACAAGAGGTATTCGAGCATCATTCCCCCAGGGCCCATACTCTAACTCAGCCGTGAGTCATCTTCTCTTGCAGCAAGCAACTTCCTGAATTTCTGCTCCATTCTAGAAGCTGACGTGAGGCTCTTTACCAGCTAGGCACCCATGATGAGCTGTAACGTCTTTAGAGGAACCCCAGACTCCCCTCACGTGGGCCATTTCTGTAAGGAGACCGCCTTACTGCCAAGTAGCTTTCTGTAGGGCAGCCCAGAGCTTTCTTTGAATCCTAAAGGGATGTTCACCTCTTGCTGATTTTCATAAAACCTTCTTTTAAAAAGGGAACCCAAAAGGAGCGTTTTGGACCTAGTTCTATAGAGGACTATTCCTTTCAGAGTCTCTTCCTGTTACAGATTTTGCTTTTGAGAGTAAAAGAGGAGTTAACAGTAGGGTGTGGCTTTGGTTTTAATCCAGATCCCTTCTACTTGTTCAGAAAATCAGCTTTGCAGAGTTCTCGTGGGCCCCAAGGGAGGGGCACCTATCGGGTTAGTTGTACTTTTCTTCCCCAAGGCCCCGCATGCACGGTGACAGTTACACCTCCCACTCTTAGCTAGTGGCTTCTGTGACTGAACAGAGAAATTGTTTTCTGACCTAAGACGAAAGGGTTGGTGGAAGAGTCATAGGTTATAGAGATACGGATGCTTCTTTTAAATCCTTTTTCTTTTAAATCACCCCATGATGCATGCGTCACTCTCCCCCAACCAATCCCCCAAACCTTCACCTTCAGGGAGGAATCAGTATTTGGGTGTTCCCTAACCCTCTGGTCGCCTTTCCTATAAAAAAATTAACCTAGGAAATGAATGAGCCAGATCCTTCCCCGACTCACCCGTTTCAGTCTTTTCAAGAACAGACCCAAGTGACAGTGGGGCGTCTGCGGGGACTTCTGCAGTGGCCTCTTCCTGTCCTGTTCCAGCCCTTGCATTGGAGGAGGGGCCTGCATTTTAATTTTAAGTGCCTGGGGGAGACAGGAGTCTGGATCCTGGCCTCTGCTTGAAACTCAAACACAGTCCATACATCAAGGGCTGGCAGCCCGTGGAGAGAACTCGGGAGGCCCCAGGGGACCAGCTGCCCTGTGCAGCTGTGTGCGGCTGTGCTCATGCTGGTCACCAGGGGGGAACCTCCTGGTGAAAGGTAACTGGCCCTTTCGTTGACCAGCAAAGCCATCCGAGAAAAGCCAGGCTCTCAGGGGAATCTCAACGCCCTGACAAACCAGGAGTCTGCTCTGTGATACCACAGTGGGGGCCACGTCGCTGGTACCCCCTGACATTTTCTTGAGGATGGGTGCCCAGTGTATATATATCTCTTTGTGCTTTTCCCACCGGTGTGGGTCCCTCCAGCTGTAAACAGTGCTGTGTGGTCATGAGGCCGATGACGCCCGGACCGCAAGGCAACCTGGTACCACGGGTTTCCCTGAATCTCAGTGCAGCCCACATGCTGACGAATTCCCCTGCGTGCAGAAGGATGCGGTGTGAGCGGGACGTGCTTGAGGGCTGAGTAGGTAGACAAGCTGAGTCTGCGCTGCTCCCCACGGGGCTCGAGCTTCGGCAGCCGAAGGCGGACAGTGCAGCTGATGCCCTGCTCCTTGCAGAGGGGACTCGGCGCCGCCCGCCCCAGGTCGGCAGCACCCACACCCAGAACTAGGAGGGCAGCAGCTCAGGTGCTTGGAAGATCATCCGCGGCCCGCCTGGGCCCCTGAGACTCGCCCGCCCATCGTGGAGGGTGCAGAGGCCTTGGGGGGCCCAGCGGGCTCTCGGCGGCAGCCGAAGGCTGAGGGCAGCAGCGGGAGCAGAGGGAGAAGAGACGAGTCCGGACAGTGCGGGTGCAGAGGACGAACGTGATGCAGTTGGCGCCCCCCTGAAAGGTGTTCCCGATCCCCTGACAGGGAGAAAGGGAGAGGCGTGAGTGCCAGGGCCGGGGCCTGAGAAGCACACGCAGGGAGGCCGGGAAGTGCTGGAGACCCAGGACCCGGTCCTCCACCCCTTGAGGCTGGTCTGCGGGGGACCCTGGCCACGTGGGCCTTGGGCTGAGCACCGGGCAGGCCTGGACTTGCAGGCGTGTCCCCGGGTCTTCTGGGCTGGGAAGGACTCAGGGTCAGTCAACTCTCCCGGGGCTACTCCTAGGCCATTGGACAGCAACTTAACACCCCCCGGCTGCCCTCGAGCCACGCTGACCTTCCACCTTCTCTCGTCAAGGCTCCCTGTGGGGCAGCGAGCAAGGCGAGGTGGGGCAGAGGCCCCCCCCCCCCCCCCTCCGCCTGCCTGCCTGCCTGCCTGCCCGGGTACAGGGATTTGACCCTGCTGACCCCGCGGTCGCCGGGAGCCGCGAGGGCGGGGCGGGGGCGGGGGCGGGGCAGACCTACGTGCAGAACCACGAGCACTGGGGTCCGCACTGCCGGGGAGCCACAGAGGGTCAGGACGAACCGCACGGTGCTCCAGACCCGGAGGCAGATGAAGATGAGCGGGATGAGGGCCAGCTTCTTATCGGCCGTGGAGGTGCGGCGCTGGAGCTGGTGCGCCTGGGACACGAGGGGCCGGTACTCGGAGAGAGCCTCATGCTGCGCGAGGAGCACACAAAGCAGACGTGAGAGACGGGGCCCTCCCGCCCCCTCCAGCCCCACCGCAGGCTGCCCGCCCCCCCCCCGGGACGCGGAGGTCGTGAGCCGCGCAGTGCCTGAGGCCGGCAGCCCAGGTTCCCACCTCTGCCCTGTCTCCTCCATCCACTGTCTGCTCCACACCCCACGTGGGTGTCTAAAGCACGTGGGAAACTTCTCAGGTCCGAAACACATGCCTGCTCTCGACCCCCAGCCTGCTGCCTGCTTCCCCATCTCAGCTAACGGGAGCTCCGTCCTTCCAGCTGTCCAGGCCCCAAACTTGGGAGTGGCCTTTGGTCCCTCTCTCTGTGCGACAACTCACGTCCGATCCATAGGCAAACCCTGCAGGCCCTGCCTTCAAAAGAGACCCAGACCTGGACGTCCACTGCCACTGCCGCCAGCCTGGTCCAAGCACCACCAACCCCTTCTCTGGAGAGTTGCCACTGCTTCTTGGCAGGTCTTCCTCTATCGCCCTGACCACCCCACCCCGTCCCCACTGCAGTCTTACTCTCAACACAGAAGCAGCGTGGCTCGTTGAAAACCTAAGTCGGATCAAGCCAGTCTTCCACTCAAAGCTCTTGGTGTCTCCCCACTTCACACGTTCCTTACGATATCCCCAGCCCTAGTCTAGCTCTGACCTCATTCCTGTTACGTACCCCCTGTTTACTCTTCTCGAGACACACGGGCCTCCTAATGCTCCAAACATGCCAGGCACACCCCACCCCAGGGCCTTTGCACAGGCTGCTCCCTAGAGCTGTAATGCTCTTCCCCAACCGTCTACGTGGCTCACTCCCTCACCCTCTTCAAGTCTTTGCTCCAGTGTCGCCTTCTGGACAAGGGCTATCCTGACAACCTATTTAAACTGCAAAGGCGTTTCCCAGGTGGTCCTGTCCCTGCCTCCAGCTCTTTATCCTTGTCTGCTTCTCATAGCTCTTATCCTCCTCCTTCCTGGACGCCATTCACCCTCGTTTATCAGGCCCATCGCTCACAGTCATCCTCCTCCAGAAGGCAAGCCCCCCACCCCACCCCCCGGCCCTGCTGTGTCCTCCCAGCCCCGCCGGCCTGCCCCACAGCAGGGGCTCTGCCCGAAGCTGGGACAGGAAGAAAAGGTGAGCAGCCGCCAGCTTTGGTTTCCCCGCTCCTCGGAATGCCCTTCAGTGACAGGAAAGGCAGTTCCAGATCACGACCGAATTTCTAAAAATAGATGAAGAAAACACTGCTCCATAACAAAGATGTGTTTTTGAGCCTGGTCCTCTGTGGGGGACACTGAAGGTGCAGGTGAGAAGAGCCACACCCCTTGGCATCTCTGAGCACCCGAGCTGCTGCAGCTCACCTGCTCAGAGCACATGCTTCCTCCCCGGGGCCTTCAGCACCCAGAGAACAGCACCACCCACCCCCTCCAGGACCACACGGGTGGGCGGGGGAGCCGGGCACTAGACGGGCGCTAGCCACAGCTGCCGGTCTGCTCTTTCTCAGGGCAAAGCTCGCCCAGTTCATTTATTTTTAGGTCTCCTTCCTAGCTAGAGGCAGGGAACCACCCGCACATTCTCACCTCCCTGCTCACTAGTATTCCTTTTCTCTGGAAACACCCACAGAGCTGTAGGAGAGGACCATTCTCAGTTGGGGGTTGGTCAGCCTCACAGGCAGGGCCCCAGGCTTCCTGCCCCCGCTACAGGAAGGGCAGGGAGGCAGACAGACACACGAGGGACTCCCCTGGTGCTCCAGTGGTTAAGAGTCTGGGCAGGAGGGAGAGCTGGCGGTGCCAATTTAAAATCTGGTGGTCAGGGGGACTTCCCTGGCTGTCCAGTGGTTAGGACGCTGTGCTTCCACTGCAGGGGGCACGGGTTCTCAGGGAGCTAAGATCCCGCATGCCCCGCAGCATGCCCCCCCCCCAAAAAAAAACACATGAAAAGGCAGCTGGGGGAGGGCATGGAGAGGTCATGGGCAGAGCCTGGTGGGGCTCCTGGGAGCTTTCATCAGGGAGCCCGGGACCTTCCCAGGGCAACGGAAAAGAGGAGGTGAGAAGGGCAGCCCCGGCCCAGGCAGGAGACCAACTAAAAAACCCTAAGTAGACAAAGAGGATCTCAGACCCATCGGTAAGCCCTGCCAGCATCTCTGTCAACGACTCCAAGCTGAACCAGAAGAGGGCGGCAGGGAGGGGTGAGAATCAGGTGAATTTTGGAGTAAAAAGAGAACCGAATGTGTGGATCCCACATACAGGGTGGCGGTCAGGTGTCAGACAGCTGCGAGGAGCACCCTATACACTTGGAAATGACCGCTGAGCCAGCAGCACACCCGAAAGTCAAAAGCTGGGGACATTCTCACCTACAATTACAGCCTTGAAAACTCAGAGCAAAAAAGAAACACAGGCACCACACCAGCAGAATGAGCTTGGAAGTCTATCCCCAGAGCTTTCACGATGTTACTGCTCCAGCCCCGTTTCATCTTCCATCGTAATTACACTTCTGCCTCCTCCTAGGAGGGCAGGATCCATGCCTGAGCTCTCATTAGCATTCCCACCGACACACAGAGCTTTTGTGCATAGTAGATGCTCAATAAAAACACACTGAATGAATGGTTGAGCGGATCAATGGATGGGCTAACCTGAGGCTTTTTGGGGTAGCAGTTTGCTTGTGGCTAGGAGAAAGCCCATACTTTACATGTGCGGAACCGGTAGTCCAGAGCGAGGAACAATTTGGCCAGATCATCAGAGGGAAACCATTCTTTCCTAGAATTTCTGGCCAGAAGTCTAGGAGACTTCAGAGCAGCCCAGCCTATTGATTTATGAATTCCTGACAGCCTGAAAACTCTACCACTTATAATATTTTAATCACCAAGGAGAAAGAAGTGAGTTATTTGTGTCGCTGATTGTGAAAGTCTGTGGCCTCCTCTCCCCAGGGGCATGCCAGTTCAATTCTTAGCTGGCTACTGCTTATCTTTCATCCAAATTCCTCTCCAGGTTAAGCGACCGTGGTGATCTGCCCAGGAGGGGGCAGTAGAGAGCTGCGGCCCAGAACACAGGCTGAGCCTGCAGCCTCCTTGGCTTCACAGCAGGTCAGTCAGAGTTGGGCGAGTCTGGGGAGCCCCTTAACTTCGGTGAGCCCCCGTTTCCTCATCCACAAACGGAGGATAACAGGACCCGCTCCCGACAGGGCTGCATAATTAGCAAACCAGTCAACCCACGATGCTTATTAATTCAGCGCACGGCACAGTGCCTGAGGCACAGCAAACCCTCCGGCACTCTGGTCGGTCACCAGTCCCGTCCCCTACGGCAGCCAACCCCAATGCCAGGACACGGTGGCCACACAGAGCTCTGGGCCGGGGCCCCGTGGGGCACCTACCGCTCTGTTGATGTGCTTCCGGATGAGGAGGTAGATCACGGGCAGCGTGACGTAGGCGAGCATCTCCCACACCTTCCCGGTCAGCAGCATCCACAGCACGCGGTCCTCCGCCTCCAGGTCGATCCAGCACCAGCCCACGGACACGTCCGAGGCGTCATAGCCGATCTTCTTTAGAGTGACAGCAGCCACGGTGATGACCAGTGGAATCCCCCAGCTGAGGAATAAGGAGCAGACGGGAGGTGGTGAGGTCAGACCCGGCTCCCGGCAAAGCCAGCGAGGGCGAAGGGACCGGGATGCTGTGTAGGCAAGAAGGACAGTGCTCTTCCAAGCATGCAGCAGACAGTGTTCCCGGAGAAAGGAGGGGCGGGAGTCCTCAAATCCCCCAGCCCAGCCCTGCTCTGCCCAAGCCCTGCCAAGCCCGGGATGCCCTGGCCTCCCACCTGGACAAACCCTCCCAAGCCCTCGGAGGCCGGGTTCTATTTCAGAATTGCCAGGCTCCTCGGAGATTGGCGCTGGGATGCTGTCGCATCGGGACGGCCGGCTCCTTCCTGCACCGAGGGGCCTGTGCACTGGCCCGCAGACACCAGCCCACGCGGACAAGCCTCATCCACACACCCCACCAACAGTCAGGCCCCCTTGGCCAGCCTGGGCCCAGGGGTGCACACACTGGTGGCTTGGGGTTGTCTGGGTCCCGTGCACCCACAGCAGGAACTAGAAGAGGGGCCCTGGGCTCCAGGCGGACACATCTCCTCGGTCCTGAGCCCTCCTTGCTCTATGTGAAGGGGCGGGCACTGGCAAGGGCCCAAGGGGGCCCACTAAAGCACAAAGCCTGGGGCGGGGGCCCCCTCTCAGTGCAGTGCTGGGCTGACTTTTCTAGAGTTTACTGCAATGGCAACACAGCTGGGATTAGGGCTGAGCCCCAAGGCCCCTACCCAGTGGTCCCCACACGAGTCTCCTTGCCAAGCCTTTTAAATCAGCCAGGGGGACACACAGAAGCTATGTGGCGGCCCTGCAGGGTGGTTAAGAGCTTGGACTGCGATGCAGCAGGCTGGGTCCGAGTCTCGGCCCTGCCCCACGTGGCTGCAACACATCCGTGTTTTTCTCCACAGAGTGGGGATTATCACGGTGCCTGGAGCAGAGCATCGTTGCTGGTTGTCACAAGAATAAACTCATCAGCGTTACACCCAGCACGCGGGACAGGGTAAGCGTGTCCGCATTTACGACCAATGTTGTCCGTGAGGCTTGTCCCCAGGTCCCAGGATCCGGGCCTGCGGTGTAGCCACCAGGGACGATGAGGCCTGCGCAGTCTCTGCCCCCAGGAGGACACACGGGCCTACGTGGTAGGTCGGCCGCCCAGAGAACAAGCAGTAAGTAAATAGGACAAGTGTCATCAGGAAAATGTTTAGTTCAGAAACTGGTTCTGTCTTGAGGGCTCTGTGTAAGGAATATCGGCTCTTTCTGAAAGAAGGTCGTAGAACAATGATGAGGCCACAGTTGCACTCAGTCTGTTACCAAAACGAGGCTACAAGGGCTGTGCTTTTATAAGGTTCTCCAAATGCTGCAGGGCTGGGGACGAGGCAGGGCAGGGATGGCGAGGAAAGGGAGAAAGTCCGCTTCCTGGGCCCAGGAAAGACTTGGTACCCCCTCCGCTCACTGGCCGCTGCAGGAGGGACCAGAGCCTGGGGCGGGTCACTGGGTGCCACCCTCAGCTCTGCTGCCCCGACAGCCCAGCAGAGGTAGTAGCAGCACATCCTCCTTGAAGTCACAAGAGCCAAAACCCCATAGAAATTAAAGGATGGTGGGGACTTGCCTGGTGGCACAGGGGTTAAGAATCCGCCTGCCAATGCAGCGGACACGGATTCAAGCCCTGCTCCGGGAAGATCCCACATGCCGTGGAGCAACTAAGCCTGTGCGCCACAACTACTGAGCCCATGTGCTGCAACTACTGAAGCCCCCGTGCCTAGAGCCCGTGCTCCGCAACAAGAGAAGCCACCACAGTGAGAAGCCCGCGCACCGCAACGAAGAGTAGCCCCCGCTCGCCACAACTAGAGAAAGCCCGCGCACAGCAAAGAAGACCAAATGCAGCCAAAAATAAATACATAAATAAATTTATTAAAAAAACAAGGATTATGAGAAAGGTACCAAGTTATACTTCAAATGGATGGAGTGTGTCTATTTTAAATGTTTGTGCTATGCAAAGTTATCGATCTGGTGAGTTAATATATATTAGTATCAAACCAAAGGGTTGGGCTTCCCTGGTAACGCAGTGGTTGAGAGTCCGCCTGCCGATGCAGGGGACACGGGTTCGTGCCCCGGTCCGGGAAGATCCCACATGCCGCGGAGCGGCTGGGGCCGTGAGCCATGGCTGCTGAGCCTGCACATCCGGAGCCTGTGCTCCACAATGGGAGAGGCCACAACAGTGAGAGGCCCGCGTACCATAAAAACAAACAAACAAACAAACCAAAGGGTTACTGTTTTAAAACTCACGCCATCCTGGGATTTTAGGACAACACATGTCAGCTATGAGCTCCATGAGGCGAGGGCCATGTGGATTCACTGCTCTATCTTGGCATCTACACCAGTGCCTGGCACACGATAGGGGCAAAACTAGGACCTGCTGAATGAATGAATGAACGAATGAATGAACTGAATGAATGAGTGAATGAATGAAGTTTGAACCAAGTGACTGAGACAGCTTTTCCCAATTTACTCTTTAAATATTCACTGCAAGGACTTTACTGAAAGGAGGTGAAAGGCTTTTAAAGGGCTGAACCGGAAATCCTGAAATTAGAGATGGGACAGCAGTGCTTAGGGACCAACACCCGGCAGGACTGGAGCCGAGGATTCCCACCCCGGCCGGGAAGGGAGAGCACAGGCTTGGCGGGAGGAAGCAGCTTCTTTCCCTCCTCAGCATCCCTACGGCCCCTGGGGACCAGGGCCCCTGGTGACAGCCCCACATTTTACAATTTTAGGTCTGTTGTACAAAAGCTACCCAGTGATGTATTTCCCCTGTGTTACTGGGGTGTGCCTGGAGCTGAATCTGTGATGGAAAATAGCCAGAGGGAAGACCAAATAGACGGCTTTGAAAGGGCTGAGCATGTGGGTTGATCAATCAGAGTTGCTGTTTGAACTGAAGCACAGACAGCAGCTCTGCTGAGGCCAGAAGCTGCCTGGGGAGGTACCTGAGTGGAGGTGGAAGAAAAGGTGACCTCAGAGAGCAGTGGGGATGGAGTGGGAGGGATGGTCTAATAACCCCGCCAAGCAGGCTCCACCAGACTCGTAATTTACAGATACAGACAATGGTGTGCTGGTGATGTTTTAACATCAGAAAGACATCTACACACGTGTGTGTGTGTGTGTGTGTGTGTGTCTGTGTACACGTACACAAACATAAACTGATTATGAATTTTACTGATATAAAGGATGTGGGGCACACAATTTGTAAATAATAATAAAATACACAATACTCCTTATCGTACATTCCACACAGCCAATTGATTCTCACAGGCTTCTGTTGAGTTTTGCAGAACTCTGGTATCTGCACCCCACCTGTGGTTGCAGTCAGCCAATGAGAGTAGCTCCGTGATGAGAAGGTGGCTGACCTTTTCATTTTCCTTAATGACTAAGATGGAAGTGAAATGAGGAAGACCTGGGGCACCAGACGAGAGCTGGGACTTCACTGGGTCGACTTGACATGAGCGACCTCTCTGTGGATCAGGTAATACTTTTCCAACACTGGAAGAATGTTTCTTCTTTTTTCCTGCTCTGGGACATGGCCCCTTCTCATCACCTCCCCCTGAAATATGCGGCTTCCCACCTGCCCCAACGTCGCTGCCGCCAGGGCTTAAGTACAGAGACAAGAAACACTTTTGCATTTAATCTTTACTACTAACGTTTTCTCTATCACCTTCTTAAATCTAGAACAGGGGTCCAGCAAACTAGGGCCCTCAGACCAAATCTGGCCCAATCTGTTTTTTATTTATTTATTTTATTTTTTAAATTGGAGTGTAGTTGATTTGAAACGTTGTGTTAGTTTCAGGTGTACAGCAAAGTGAATCAGTTATACATATACATACACCCACTCTTTTTTAGGTTCTTTTCCCATATAGGTCATTATAGAGTATTGAGTAGAGGCCCCTGTGCTCTATAGTGGGTTTTTATTAGTTATCGGTCTTATATACAGTCACGTGTATGTGTCCATCCCAAGCTCCCGATTCAGTCTGTTTTTTAAAATAAAGTTTTACTGTATACAGCCACACTCACTGGTTGTATATCATCCATGGTTGCTTCCAAGCTACCAGAGCTGAGCTGAGCAGTGGCATCGGAGATAGCATGGCCCACAGCCCTGAAAATACTCTATGGTCCTGTACAGGAAAAGTTTGCTGACATCTGCTCTACAAATCAACAAAAGTATAATTAGGGGACTTCCCTGGTGGCGCAGTGGTTAAGAATCCACCTGCCAATGCGGGGGACATGGGTTCGATCCCTGGTCCGGGAAGATCCCACATGCCACGGAGCAACTAAGCTCGTGTGCCACAACTACTGAGCCTGCGCTCTAGAGCTCACGAGCCACAACTACTGAAGCCCGTGCACCTAGAGCCCGTGCTCCGCAACAAGAGAAGCCACCGCAGTGAGAAGCCCACACACCACAATGAAGAATAGCCCCCGCTCACCGCAACTAGAGAAAGCCCCCATGCAGCAACGAAGACCCAACTCAGCCGAAAATAAATAAATAAATAAAATAAATTTTTTTAAAAGTATAATTAGGACCTAAGGAGTTTTGAGTACGTTACTTTTGTTTTTAATGCAGTTTATTTAATTGTAAGTTTATATAATTTAATTTTTAACAATGTTCTATCTAACAATCAGCCCACAAAATGCCCTGAAATTTAACAATCGGGTCCCACAAGCCGGCTCCAGGCCACCACTGGACAGAGGATGAAAAGGATAGGGGGCTGAAGCTGCCCTGCCCCAGGCTCTCACCTACAGAGCCAGGAGGAAATCTCTCTGGTGACCTCAATAAGCCAAGCTGTTCTCTGGCCAAGTGGCCACCCTGAGTTGTAGGTGGTGTCCAACTCTGGGAGGAACTCTACAAAGACATGTGTGACCTAATTCTCACTTTCCAGAAATGTCTACTGCTAATTTCTGACATGTACCACTTAACAGTTTTTTATCCCTTCAAAAAAAAAAAAAAAAAGCAGCCGTCAATCAAAA